ACAACAAGAGCCTAACTTCTTCATAATTAGAGCTGTAATTATAGTCATTAAAGCTTACCTTCCCTCTTGCTGCTGTGATGTCCTCTTCCATAGGTGTCAGTGATGTCCTTGAATGAGAAAAGGAAAAGAACCATCTCCCCCTTTTCATTTTTTATGGGCACAATGTCCAAGAAACACCAGAAGGCCACACCTGCAGCAAATTCAGAAAAYGTCAGTGTTCAYATCTCCTTATTCAAAAGAAGAAAAYATTTGAACAAGCTGTCCAAAATAGTAGCTCAGTGTCTGAGGTAAAAAAAATAAAAATGTGTATAATGACATTAAGGAGCCCATTAGGTTCTCATTAGGGCCTGAGCCACCTCGTGTCACCCCTCTATCCTCGCCTCGGTTAATCGTCACTTCGGTTTTTCATGACAAGACCTATAATTTCACACTTCATGCCAGCTCGCCCTCACATTTAAAGCATGGATTGTTTAAAGGAGCCATTTTTAGCCGCTCTAAAAATGGCACTAACAGTAGAAATGGATCATTTTACCAGACAGTTGTGCAGGAGCAAACCAGTGAGTTAGGTCTAACAAGTCACTAAAGATTCAGTTTGCTCATTAGTGAAAAATGGTGCCTGGCCACATAACAGATATAATACATCCGTAGTGTCCCTGGTGTTTGTGGGCGTTGAGCAAAGAGAGGGTAAGGTAGAAGGGAATACAAAAGATGATGATGTTTTTGCACAGGAAGCATTATTTTTCTGTGGACATGCATTTTTTTGTATGACATATCGTGAACATCTGCTTATTCAGAACCTCTCATCTTTAAAATGTTTTATTTTATTGTCATGATTTTACTCATTTGGAACGCTTATTGCTGTCATATTGACGTCACCTTTCTGTTACTTAGTGCAACGTCAGAAACCCTTTGAAGTAAATGCATTTGGCTGCACTTCAGATTCGGTGGTTAACACACTTGGGGGCTGCAGGTTTGAGTCTCTGTTTGAAGGAACATAATCCTGTGTGTCAGTCATCATGGCTTAAACACGGCTGTATGCTCTTCTCTCAGGCATGACAACACGTTTCAGCTCAAGACTTCCAGAAGGATTAGCAAGACCGTCAGTAAGGAGTTCAATTTAAGACAGTAAGTACAGGCTTTGTCCTGGATATAAAAAAAGCATCATCAGTTGTGGAAATAAATGTWAGAAAACATGGTTGTCATTGTTGTCACATTGCCTAAAAGCTAATTCCTTTTTTCCTTCTAAAAAATGAATAATTATGACCCAATTACWATATTAATACTATTGCATTTTACACCTCAACTTTTTTTGTAGTTGTGGCTCTTCATTCTCTTTCCATGCACCCACCGTTCTTTTTGTAAAAGTGGACCTCAGCCTGGTACTCCTCTCGGCCCTCCAGAGCCTTCTCTATCTGCTGGGCCACGTGCTCGTTGGTGTCGTCCCCGTAGAGGAAGTGGCAGGTGCAGTTCTTTTGCATCACCTCGGTCCGGGTGAAGCCGGTCAGCTCGCAGAAGCCGTCGGAGCAGTAAACAATGGGGTAGCCACGGTGGCCCTGGGCGTTACCCAGCAGGAAGTTACTGTCTGTGAAACGGACAGRAGAAAGATGAGGAAACGTTACCGGTTGAGGGTTTGATCACGTCAAGCCAACATGTGGTGCAGATGAATAATCTGCTCCAATTGCTGATARTTTCACTTTAAAACCTCGTTTGTTTTGGCTTTTTTATTTTCTTCTACAGCCTTGCCTCCAGAAATGGGGACGGTTTTCATCACCGAACCGTGTCTGATGCACAGCACCAGTCCTTTGTTCTGGGATCTCATCCCAGTCGCTCCAGGCTGCAGCACGTTGGTTTGGATCCTTTYATACAATCATCTAGCCGATCGTTAGAATCTGAGATAAACATATGTCCATCGGTCTATCAGAACTATAGGTGCAAAAAGTTTAAAACAAGTATTTTGGAAGATGGCACTGTTTGTGCAAGATATTTCAGCATTACCTCGTTTGCCTGTTAGCAAAACATTTCATACACCCCTTGACAGATTTAAAATAAACTCTCATAAAATAATCGTTGGATTTACATCTACAAATGGTTAACCTTTGGAGTCAGATCAATTCAAAATGAATACCAAAGCTAACTAACATTAGTCAAAATGGCTGTAACAGTCAGTTCTGTAGAGAGGAGTGGTAGGAGCTAAGAGTCGTCCTTAACACATCCTCTGAGTGTGACGTCTTAGAATGTCACACTAGATAATGTTGATTTTAAGGTTTGACTAAAATATTTTATAACATTTCATAACATAAGATGATAAAGCTAACATGAGAGGTGGCAGGTAATAATTTGTATTTTTTGCATAATTTCCTCTGAGTGTGATCTCACTGTGCATTTTAATTTAAAATGTGAACTCTTTTCATATGTTGGTGGCCCTGTATATTTTACTGTTTTGGAAAATGTTRCAACTGAGACTGTAAGAGCAGATTTTCTGAATGCCAAGACGGACTGATTACTCTGAATGATCCTGACTCCATTGAGACCAAATAAAAAAAAGTGTTTTAACCAGCTGCTGCTGCGCGTTCCAACATGCAGCTCTGTAATTGGCCGGGCTGAGGAGAAAGCAGTCCATAGGGGATGTTTTTCATGAGCTGTGACAACCTTTCTTGAGTGTGCAGTGAGCGGCAACTAAACTGTCACTGTGGAAATATAAAAAGAGACAGGCATTAGTCGGATCCATCAGCGGGCAGGGGGAAGGTTTTATGCTTATGCTGCGGCTTTTCAATTCCCCAGACTTCAACGAGAACAGACTGCATTTCTGTTCTGTAGCTTTTTTTTTTAAATATAAGGCTCAAGAACAGAAATTTTATGAAGCTTGTTTTGTAAGAAAAGTCACGACCTTGCACATAAAGCGCTCCAGCTTTGTCCTCATATATCTTTAGGGTACAAATCAACCCAGAAACAATGGCTGAATGAGATGTAGGCTCGTGTTAAAGGAGGGAAAAAAATGGCCTCTTTTTATGTTCTATAAATTCCTGACACCACCGAGCCAACAAGTGCTGAAGAGGAGCTTGCATTCATCTCTGGTTTATGTAATATTTACCCAAGAATAGGTACATCTCTACTCAGCAAGTTAAACTGCTCCTTTAAACAGGTCGACAGCAGGTGTAGTCATAAATCACTTTTATAATCAAAGAGCCAGGAAAGAAGTAAACTTTTGTGCTGTGTTTGGAAGCACACAAAGCTGGAGGTTTTACACTACAGATTAGGATAAWTCTTGTAGTTTTGACCACTTTTATTGAAACAAAGATTTCTAAATGGGGCATATGCAACATCCACCTTTTCAGCTGCTAAATGCATTTTGTTGTGTACGTGGAGTCTCTGAGCATGCCGAAAATTTAAAGATAAATTTTCTCCAAGTGCTGTGTGGGGTAAATGAGGGGTTTGTGGAGTTACAATAAGAAGGAATTCAGACCAAAGAATTGCAGTTCTACTGTATATAGACCCCAACTGAATGATTTAAATGTGAAAAAKGATTTAAAAGCATGACATGTCTCCTTTAAATTCATAAACATTTATTAAAAACGAATGAATATTCATCATTTAGGGGCAGATTTAGTAAATAWATGAATTGCAATGTGATATGACAAAATTTCTAAATATCACAGGTAATAACCTCATTCATTCTGGTCATTGCATTTCTGTAGCTCAAGTGGAACTCCAAAAAAACTGTTTTTGTTGCTTTATGATGACCCTTGTAAAATGATGTTATGCACAATCTCATGCAACAACATGAAGTCTTGTGAGACAWAATAACACTCAGAGAATGTGTTGGGAGTGACTCTCAGCTACCAGCACATAAAACTTGTGCTCAATAGCTGTGACATTGAATTATTTTAGACATTTCAGCATTTACTAAGTTCAGCTGGCTGTGGCGGCCATCTTGGATGTGGTTGACTGCAAAGTTTCCTTGCAATCGCTCCAGATAAACATGCCCATAAAAAGTTAGTTTTACATTCCTGATTTTTGCATCAACATTAAATTAAATCCCACAGAGCAACCTAGAAAGCAATAACGTAAAATTCTGATTTATCTTTTTCTCACATTTTCTTTAGACTCTGCAGCGTCATGTTTATTTTCACTCCTCTAACTGTGTAAAAAACCAATCACGTCCCCACACAAACCACTTTATGAGCAGCGTGTTCACTGCGACAATGCCTCCATCCTTATAGGCTCTAATCCTCTCAGGAATATTGCTTTGAGTGTCCGCTCAGCTGCTGTAGCTTCCTTAATTACACATCTGTGCTGACTCGCAACAACTGTAATCTGACATGATGATGCTGTACGCGCTGCTACTGCTGCTGACAACACGCAGCCTGGGTCGGTGTCAGTGCGAAACAAGTTCCTCTGTGTATAACGGAGACGAAGCCCCTGAAGCTTGGCCAGCAGCTAATTACCACCAAGCAGCRTGTAATTACTTATTGGGTCAGATCATCGAGAGCAAAATGAGGCTTAAAGACTTGGAGAAAGGTCACGGGCGAAAAGGTATTGACAAAAGAAGTGCACATCAGAGATTTTGTGTAAAATGTAAATAAAAGAATCATCAGATGTTGTTATAAAATCTTTGGGTAACCTTCTCTGCATTGAYGCTGCCTTTTCATATATATAAGCTGCTCATGCTAGAAACACTTATGCACCCCCATACCATCAGAGTGGTTGTAGTTAGTGTCATCTAATCTAATTACCTTACATTTTACAAAACTGGTATCATTTCTGAGTTTAAACATTTGATCCGTTAAATATATTCCAATAAAACGTGTCTAATGACAGGGCTATTCAACTGGCATTCATGGGCCACACCTAGCCCATGAGTGACTTCAGTCTGGCCTGCCAATGASTTCTTTAAAAAAWTGTWTTYTTGTCTAATTTAATTTAAAAATAGATTTTAGATCAATTAAGGTTTTTTATGGGTAAATGCACCAAAATAAACTAATTTAAAGRGTAAAAAAGAACAATACTCGTGTTTTTTTGCAGAGTTTCCTAACATTAGGCAACCCCAACACCACTCAGATGTCTGGCCCCTGAACTGTTGGCGTTAGCTGTGGCCCCCTGAGCAATTTAGTTAAATTTGTCCATGAAATTTGTAAACCGCTGCAATCTGTTTTTATTTGCGTTTTACACAACRTCCCAGCTTTTCAGTATTTGGGTTCTGATGTTAATAAAACACAATTTTCTAGAGTAGCATGGAGCTTTTTTGTATTAAAAGTGTCAGGATTGGATTTGAATCTGTAAAAACTGAACACTGCAGCCACGCACAAACTTTATGAAAAATACTGCAAAGTGCTTCAGTAAACCTCACACCTACTCACACCTAAATTCACACACCGGTGGAGGTAGAGCTGTAATGCAAGGTGGAGACCTGCACATTAAAAGAAGATTTATTTTAGCCTCTTACTGAAAAAAAGAAGAAAAAAAAAACAGAACACACCTGGGGACTCAACCTTACGATTTCTGAAGTATCATCCGAGGGGGTTGGTACGTTTAAAATATATGAAACAGGCAATCTGAGAAACTTAACTGGCCTCAGAGAAACATGAAGGAGTGGAGTCACAAACTCTCYGACTCTTTCTTTGGTTGCCTCTTAACAGAAGAGTTTAGAAGGGAAAAAATAAACTTGCTTCTTATCTTTGCCTGCAGCTGCAGAGTGCTCACGCTGCCCCACAGCGTGAGAGCTGCTGTCAATATAAAAACGCTGCCAGGTGGGTCATGTGAAGGAATTGAKGGGAGGGCATGAGTGGAGAGGGGGGTTGGCATGAAAACTGGGMACTGTAGTTTTTACCCTAGAAAACAATAACTAGGTGGCCTACTGATCAGCTGTGTTGAAAATCAACAGCATCCTGACCTTTAACCATTAAAAAACACCCTTCACAAAATAAAAGACAACAAACACAGATCGTATGACATGACAAACACAAAGCCTTAGAGGGCAGACACTCGAATGCACATGGTTTCTTTGCAAAAGCATAAATGCTGGCGTTGCTTTGGGACAAATACTGTAACAATGTATGTCATGCAATAATGGTGACGCAGGCTGGTGTGTCGACTACACTGAAAGGTGGATTTGGAACATCGGAGGGGTGTGTGATATGATTCATTTGTGCAATTTTCTCACTCCAGGAAGCATTCAATTAAAATCAAATTCAAACTGCTTTTCTTTTAAGGTCAAACATTGTCCAGTCGACAGTTATAAACCTGAGGAACCCTCACCCAGTGTAACAAACTAAAAACAACACTTTCACTCCTTAATGAAAGCCTGCAGAAAATGAAAACACTGAAAAGGCACAAGTGTCTTCAGAAATAACTCTTTCAGGCAGTGCTTTCAAAAAAGTGCTCTTGCTTCGTGCTCATTGGAGATGATCCAAGAAAATATTCAGATTTAAGTATTTTGTAATGATTTTGAAATTATTTCAAATAAAGTCTAACAACTCAAGTAAGAATAATATTATGGTTTTTAAAAGGTCCAGTACAAGATTTGTCATCATCTTGTGGCACAAATGACAATCAAAACCAGAAAAATGTGCACTTTCTGCAACA